ATTGTCTCCCCTCGCATAACGTCTAGTAAACATATTACGTACATCCAACATCATTTACGTACATATGTATGTGCCAGCAGATTTTGCTAATAGGAAAATTTGCAGTAATTTAATTTCGGGTTAGACCTTGAATTGAATTAGATTTATGTCTAGTATGTGTTGATTATTAAACCTGTACGCTGCTGAGGAGAATAATAAATGCTTATCGGCAGCTGAAATGCAAAAAGACTTAACAAACATCATCGTTGAAATGCAAAAAGTCATAACTAATAAAAAATTCAAAATTCACTTTTTGATTTATATTGTGGATTTCATAAAATTACAACTCCCCACACCATTTTATAAAAAAAAAAATTAAAATATTAATCACGGCTTTTTCCATTTCATTTACGATGTTGTTACGTCTTTTTGCATTTCAAGTGACGTTATGTACCTATGTAGATTTTTAACATATCGATAAGTCCAACTGAAAATTACTGTGTATGGATAACAGATTTTTTTTTTACTAAACCCAGTGAAGTCCATTTTGTAACACCCTCAAAAGAAAAGGTGGAATCACTAAGCCCGTACGAATGCTCCCAAACAAACCTTGTAGCTATTACAAACATTAATTCTTTCCTCCGCTGCCCATTAGTTAAAAAGGTCACTCAATACCGAAATTAGACTTTAAAATAACATTTTGCTAATTCTTTAAAGAGACTTCTGTACAGCGGTAATTGCAACGAACGATGAGAGTTCCAGTTTGTTATTTCGGCCAAAACCCGGTTCAATGATGGGAGTACCAAGTCGCAGACGAATTTGGCAACAGCTTTTACCAGTGGCGGATACAGCGGGCAAGGGGGCGATCGCCCCTTCTCTCCCCTCAAGGCTGCGAAAAGTAAAATTTAGGTTAAATGAATTACATCTAACGGCAAATTTTAAAACAAGGTTTGTTAAAAAGTTTTTTTGTTCATTTTAATCTTCAATCACACACAAGATTATTTTTAAATTATAAGATTATTTATAAATTATAAGATTATTTATAAATTATAATGTATAAGAAATTATGTAAATCTTTTCGCCAACGCACAGAGGAGTATTTGCATAGTAAAACCGGTCAAAATTATTTGAAATGAACAAACATGGAACTTAATCAATAATTACGCATTTATATGACTAATTACCAGGGAACGGATTTTTAGGACCAAAAACCTATTAAAAAGGGGAAATAAAATAGCGAAAGGCAGAAAAAGACACTATAAATCGCAAAAGGGGCAAAAGAAAGCACTAAAAAAATACTAAAACCGGAAAATAATCAAGGAATGCATTTACTTTAGAAATGTTCATATTACAAGTAAAAAGGGAAAAACTATGAACTAGTTTCATTATATGAAAAATTTGTACTTTGAATCTTTGACTATTTTCTTCTTTTGAGTTTTTAACACGCAAAACTAAGGTGGTATCGATTCAACAAATACAACAATTACTTATATTTTGTTTTTGCTTTTAGCGCGCCATTGTCAAATTTCAGCTATTCTTCCCCGAAGGAAAAAGGGCGACAGAAAATACAAACATTCTCACGTTTCCACTCACTCACTAGCGAAATACAAAATTTTGACAATCAAACGCTACTCACAGCTGATGAAACAACACCACCTTATATAAATTCGCCTTGCGCAAAACTTTAATTTCTATAGTTGCAGCAACGTTGAACCACAAGATGCACTTTGAAGTTTTCTGGCTGTATTTTCATTCGATTTTCGCGAAGAAAAGCCTTAAATGTACAAAACGTGCGCTCGACATGAGTTGATACAAGTGGCGCCCCATTTAAATGTGGAACGTTTGAAACTTTCATATTATCAGGAATAGGGGCTCGCTCGCTATAAGCACTTTTTCAAAAGCAGAAAAGGCAAAAAAAGGCAACATCAAATGAGAATATATGGAATCATGGAAAGCTAAAGCGTGGACATTCTTAATCTAATATACTCTATCTCTTTAGCAGAGAAAAAGGCAATTTCCATAAAATCCGTTCCCAGCTAATTACATTTATCTTGGGTTCATTTTCGTGACATATTTATCCATCGAACGCCATAGGTCCACAAAAAACCTACTTCAGAAAAATTCAAAAACAGCATTCATATTTCTAGGGCATATTTAGATCTGCGAGTCCGCATGTGCCCTATGTATTTTCAGATTGGCTCTCATTTACGATTAATTGCGAATTTTGTAGAATTTTCCGTTTCTAAAACTTGTATGCTTTCTTAATTTAAATTAAATAAATAACTTAAAAATATAAAAAAGTGTCATAGTCCTTCTAAACATCTTCCGCTTTCGGTACAGAAATGTCAAATTTCAGCTAATCTTCGTTCAAGGAGGAAGAGGGAAAGAAAATGCCAACACTCTTACTTTCGTACTCACTCATAAGGATTTTTGACATATGTGTACCGAGGCGAATTAAAGCAGCTGATCTAGCAACACCACCTTATATGAATTCGCTGTGGCTTGAATCAAGACGAATCTATATATATGTATAGATATAGATATATATACAGGGTGTTCCAGAAGTAACCTGCCAAACTTGAGGAGAAGTGTGAGCTCCCTGATCATGGTACAATAAAAACAGGTAGAAGCCAAATTGACATCAAACCTACAAAAGTCAAAGTTTTCGGGAGAGTAAAAATAAAAATGAGCGTGTGTAAGGAAAAATAAAAAAATACATTTCACTGGTTGACGTTTTTAAGTATATTTGAAGTTTATTCTTATTTATTTATTTTCTTTAGTTAAAATTTGAAAAAAACGTGTATGTTGTTTTCTGTTTTGTTTTATGAGTTGCAGTGTTGTTGGAGGGACTTTTCGGCATAAGGGTCATAGGAACAGCACTTGGCTTCAAACGTGCCTTTCCTGTACCTCCCGGTGTATTTGTGGAATCTACTTCTTTAAAATGTTTAACGCACAGCAAGGCATTTCACTGCAGCTCTGCCCACAGCTGCTTTCGCAACGTTCCTTACGCGAAGGACATTGAGGCACGTTAAAAAATTAGTGGTATCTGCCTTATATTTAACACCACATAAAACACAACGCTTCAGGTGTTGCATTTTTAACACATACACTAAGTATAAACCGCACAACACTACAAAAATTCAAATGCAAATTAAAATTTGTTATTAACGAACATTAAAAAAAAACAACGATATGACATTCAAGGCGTAACGAAATATAGGAAATAAAATAAAATCAAGTTGAAGTTTAAAGGTTTGGTTCTCATGAGAGCAACGTCATTTTGGCTTCTACCTGTATTTATGTGCCTTGCTCCCTGATAAGCAAAAATTTTTCAGGTAAAAGTGTCACCGTTTATGAAATATTTAAATTTTTTTGAATTAAAAAAAAATCGTGCGTTTTCATGTATTTTCTTTAACTGCATCTACAAACAAGGCTATACTTAGTAAATTTTTTATGTAAAATACTTTCAGATAGTTGCTTCTCCATACTCAAATGCAATGTAGTAAAAATATATTAAGGAACCCTTGGCTCGAATACTGACAGCCGTGAACGAACAACTCGTCACGTAAAAATGCATATTTCGGATTATAACAGACGTGCTGCTTGTCTCGTAATTCGTACCTGTTCATTCGAACGACGAAGCCATGCATCAAAAAAAGCCAAAGAAATAAATGCTGTTTCAAAACTGGGAGCGTTGAAGATTACTATAGAATTGCATTCTATATTCCATTCATCGAAACGAACATAACTCATCTTCAGAGTCGTTTTATTTAAAAAAATCTGTTTTTGAAAACTTCGGTGTTTTATTCCCCAAACATGAGTACAACCTCGATAAATGCAAGAAACTTTGTGAATTTAACGAAAGTGTTCTGAATTATTTCGATGTGGAGAAAAAGAGAGGAAGGTCAGAATTTCAAAAACGTGTTATTTGTAGATAAATTTCCTAAATATATTCGAAAGGATACACTTTAACTGTATACAACATTTTCTACTCCTGGCCACTTCTACTAAGCTCTCATCCTCTGATGAATAGTCGAACCATAAATCCGTTGTACTCATTTTTACCAAGTTTTTATAAACTCGCTTTCTTTTTTGCTTCATTTTAATTTGAACAAATTTACATACATATAAGCACACTATTTAGTTTAAAGCAATGATGGGCAAAACGCTACTCGCGAGTAGCGTCTGCGTCGCAGCGCTTATACGTATACAGAAACGACGCAGCGAATTTCACTTCAGTCTGGGCTCGAACCGTCACATACGATATCGTACTACTCGACACGTAAAAACACATTTTTCGGATTATTACATATGTGAACGTGACCTTGATATCGTAATTCGTTATGATATCATCCGTCAACGAGTAACGAACCCCAGTTTAGCGAAAAATAATCTCCCGAATTCCGCGCAAGGCAGTCTCGTCCAACAGACTCTGGGAGGAGCTTTCGAGGCGATTAAATGCGGAAGGGCCACCAGTTAAGGATGCTAAGATGTGGAGGAAAGTAAGTACAGATATGATTATAATATTTTTTCGAAAACAAATCATTAATGTTGGCCACGTTCCAGGCTTTCGCAGATCAAAAGTATCAGGCAAAAAAGAAACTTTCTTTCAACAAGTCGTCCAAGCAGCGGACTGGTGGGGGACCCTACCAAGAAAAGGTCATCACTGCCGCTGAAGAAATGATTATTGAGGCAGCTGGCCTTGAAGTGTGTGTAGAAGGCAACAAAAGCGTACCAGCGTTCGGCAGTA